CCTTTATTTTCCTTTATTTGCCCAGTTCCTCCCTGGGCGTGATCAACCGTCGTCGGCAAACACCTGTCGGTCGTCGAGCACGCGCTTTGTGGATTTCGCGAAAAAATGGAGCGAGGATTAAAAATTATAAAACACGAACAATAAGAAATAATAAGAGACGAGAAATAAGAAATAAGAGAGGAATAAATGAGAGAGAAGGAGCCGAGGATTCAGTCAGTACAGGTACAGGTAGGAAGGACAGACAGGAGGAGATATAAATAAGTAGTCTGTTGATGCCGTTCGCGTGCTTTGAATAAATTTATAAGGACGCGAAACAAAACCAAAGAGGCAAAGAGGCGAGCAACAAAAAAAGCCATATACATACTTATACTTAATACTTCTCTTATGTTATGTTAGATACATAGATGCACACACTTTGGTGGACTGGACGTGGAAATTGGATCGCGGATTTCGGGTTTTTTCTCGCGTCTTCTGCGTACAAAGTTAGAAATTACAAAATTATTAACAACTGTGTTATATGTACACATACGAGTATTCATTTTGGAAATGTTCATTTGGGATCGCAGATTTATTACAATTATTTATCCCCCCCCCCTCCCCTTTGTAATCAAAACTAAGCAAATTTCTTACCAAAAATAAGCAAATCAATACCCCCCGCCCCCTATAGTGCTTACGTAATACTTAAACGGCCCCTTTGCAGCCAAATTGTAGAAATCAAAAATGAAAATAATTTTATTATTTATTAAGTACGTTTCGGTACAGTATACGTGTCATCATTTAGCAAGATCAAACCACATAGTTTAATATAATCTAAAAAACTGAAACTGTGAAATAAACAAAAAATAAAAAAAAAAAAATAATAAAGTTATATACAAATAAATTTTGGATTCAAATGGTTATTAGATTTAAAAAAAATCATAACACCTTTGATTTTTTTTAATTTAGATTTTTTTTAAAATTAGGATAAAAAGTAGATGCACGTAATATCTTATTAGACCCCCTCCTCTACGTGATATTTTGGGATTTTTTGTCAAACCCCTCACATGATTAATTTGCGCCCCTAACTAGCAGAAATATCGCTCTTAATATATAAGGAATTAATTTTTTAGTTGTCACAATAAAATTTTGCTCAAAAACAGAAACAAAATTATTTTTTTGAATTTTTATTATATAAAAACAATATATTATATTTGCGATGTTTCCAAACTGTAATAACTTACAACATTTCCTTACAAATAATAATATTTTCAAACAACTTGCAACATTTCTAGGCGACCTACAATATTTCTAGCAATATTCTAAGACGACATGCAACAATCTCAGACGACTTGCAATATTTTGAGACGACTTTTAACATTTTCAGACAACTTGCAACATTTTGTGACAACTTGCAATATTCTCAGACGACTTGCAATAGTCTTAGACGACTTGCAACATTTTGAGACTACTTCCAATACTCTCAGTCGATTTGCAATTTTCTCAGACGACTTGCAACATTTTCAGACGACTTGCAACATTTTGAGACGACTTGTAATATTTTCAGACAACTTGCAACATTTTGTGACAACTTGCAATATTCTCAGACGACTTGCAATAGTCTTAGACGACTTGCAACATTTTGAGACTACTTCCAATACTCTCAGTCGATTTGCAATTTTCTCAGACGACTTGCAATACTCTTAGACGACTTGCAACATTTTGAGACTACTTCCAATACTCTCAGCCGACTTACAACTTTCTCAGATGACTTGCAATATTTTGAGACGACTTTTTCAGACAACTTGCAACATTCTTAGACGACTTGCAACATTCTCAGACGACTTGCAATATTTTCAGACGACTTGCAACATTTTAAGACGACTTGCAACATTCTCAGACGACTTGTAATACTCTTAGACGACATGCAATACTCTTAGACGACTTGCAATATTCTCAGACAACTTGCAACATTCTCAGACGACTTGCAATATTCTCAGACGACTTGTAATAGTCTCAGACGACTTGCAATATTTTGAGACGACTTTTAACATTTTCAGACAACTTGCAACATTCTCAGACGACTTGTAATACTCTTAGACGACATGCAATACTCCTAGACGACTTGCAATATTCTCAAACAACTTGCAACATTTTGAGACGACTTGCAACATTTTGAGACGATTTGCAATATTTTAAGACGACTTGCAACATTCTCAGACGACTTGCAATATTTTGAGACGACTTGCAATATTTTAAGACGACTTGTAACATTTTCAGACAGCTTGCAACATTCTCAGACGACTTGCAACATTTTGAGACGATTTGCAACATTCTAAGACGACTTGCAACATTCTCAGACAACTTGCAACATTTTGAAACGACTTGCAATATTTTGAGACAACTTCCAATACTATCAGCCGACTTGCAACTTTCTCATACAACTTGCAATATTTTGAGTCAACTTGCAACATTTTGTGATGATTTGCAACATTCTCACTTGCAACTTGCAACTTTCTCAGACGACTTGCAACATTCTAAGACGACTTGCAACACTCTCTATCGTCTTAAAACATTTTCAGATGATAGCTTATTACCAACATTCAGCTTCTTACCGATCAGAAATCTTTTACCGTGTTCCTTTTATTTCTCAGGAAATATTTCTCGAATAAAAAATCAAAATTTGTATTTTTCATGCCTCTGTTAAAATTGCAGGCACGAGCCTCCGATAAAGGTTTACGACCTTATGAAGTCCTTATCTGTTCCTCTATGATGAGAATAAAAGGTCGTAAAACCTTAAAACCGTAAAAGCGTCGACCGTAAACCTTAATACCATATAAAAATGATGGTGAGGCAGAGCGTAAAATTTTAATTTTATTAAGGCGCTCGACTATTTAATTTATTCTCACTTTGCTGCTGCTGCTCACGGAAGAACAACCATGGTAGGGAATTAATTACCCAAAAGTAGCAATTGGAGGACAATGATTGCAAATCTCCTATAAAATAGCTGAAGTTTGTATTATTATTTCCGCAGTTCCGTACCAATATTTATTCTGGTCGTGGTATCTTTTTCATCCTGTTTGCGTAGTTAAGTAAACACAACATCATGATGCCGAGGAGATGTAAAAGGAGAACAACGCATTTCTGACATTTCGCGGCAACAATAGGACCAATTATACGATATTTGCCCAGATGTCGAGAGAAATTAACATAAACATCTTGAATAAACAAAATGTTAATTTTAAATAAAATCTTAAATAAATAGTCGAATGAATTTTTCACTTTTCGAGAAACAGAAGCATTTTCTGAAGAAAGATCAACTTGAAAAGAATTTTGGCCTAATTTCACATGAGTTAGATCTAATAATATACTATTTACGTTTCAAAATAACGTGAATAATAAACTTCGATTTCAAATGATTAAGAACGACTTCAAATGCCGAGAAAGCTTTAAACTAGGAATTGGATTTTCTGGCCAAATTATAAACTTATCCTATGGAAAATTAATAATGTAATGAAAAATTGTTTCTGGGCTCCATCCCCAAGCCAAAGCTTGGTTAATTAGACATTTTATTAGCCTAGCATACGTTTCAAATTTTGATTTGTCTCATCTTCAGTGATTTTTATATTTTATATGTATATATTTACATGTGTTTGTGTGTATTTTATATACCTTTAGTGAATACATAATAATGAACTGTAAACGACAGGTGTATTCTCTGGCCACACGACCAAACGGTTCATGAATCCGTACTTTACGATCATAACATCTCTGTAAAGGATTTATAAAAATTTTAATAATATATTAATAATAATATAATTATTTTAATTGCTATTTTAAAGTACACCGAGTTGCTGTAGAGCTTTACGTTGTTAGAAAAAATCATTTATCATTTTATTTCATGATGATTATATAAATCGTTTACGATTTACAATATTACAAGTGGTATTATGAGGCAAAAGAGTGCTCGTCTGAATCTTTTATTCTTAGTAGAAGAATCCATCCGTTTTAATTTGTACAGTTCCATGTGTATATATGTGGAATTAATTATTTTCTACTCTATATTCTTTCCACTCCAGAAGACATTCACGAACCATGCCGATGCCGATGCTGGTGGTGATGTTGATGGTGATGGTGATGTTATCTTGGGCAGTGTTGCCCGATGGCACACGTCATATAGAAATAAATAAATAAAATCAATAAATTGTTAACTTCTTCACCTCATATTTAATTACTCGTTTATTGTCTCTAATGACACTCTCTACAGTATTGATCTCAATATTTGTCTCTCACAATATATAATCTACTCACACATATTATTTATATGTCGCTAAAAAAATGAACTAGTGTGTATGGCATCGTGCCTTAAGGCAAATTGCTGGAACTTCCCGTACCGTAATGAAATATTCTAGAAATTTTAAACGTTCTCAAATATATCATTACAAATACTGTAACTTTCATTATTTTTCCTATTTGTTATATCTGAGCAAATCAAATGTAAATCATAAATCAATTTATCTCCAGAACATTAACAATCGTCATTTCATTTCGAATTCAATTTCAAAAAAAAAATAGTTGTCTAATTTGCACAAAATTGAAAAAGTGCTTCTGCATAGTCACAGTCTAAACGCATTTGCAAATAATTCTGTGCGACATTTTCACTTATACTGTGCTTAGCTTTTCGGCATTTTCACATTTTTCAATAGTTTTCACAGTCTAAACCCACTTGGGTAAACATTTGTACCAGAGTGGCGCTTAGACTGTGTAATTTTTTGAATTTTTAATCCAAAATTACAAAAATATTTTTATGGAAAATAAAAAAAAGTTATAATAATTTTTTATCTTCAAAAGCAATTGTTTTGTTAATACAAGCAGAAAGTTTTTTAAGATCATTCAAATCGGACGCTTAGTTCACTTAAAAACTGAAATTTTTTGCACATTTAGCTCTGTGTCTTCGAAATGGTGGGACCTGCCTTAGCCAAAAACTAATTCTCCTCTTCTCCCAATCATTACAAATTGAATGCTTTTTAGATCATTCAAATCCGATACTCCGTTCTCTCAAAAAGTTGATTTGTATTTTCTGCACTCTTTGCTCCGTACCTTCATAACGGCTGGACCTGCCTTTGCCAAAAACTAATCAGCACATCTCCCTATCAATAGGAATCAAATGTTTTTTGAACCATTCAAATCGATTGATCTGGATTGCCAAAATGTTCAAAAACCTTCAAAACGTCGAGAAATGCAAAAATTTTCAATTTCGATTTTTGGACGATTACAATAACTTACCCTACGGAAAGTTAAAATTTAATTCATATCACAAACGCGGAATTATATTTCCATGAGTTTTATTTCATAGATCTGGTTGACGCCCTTTTGTAACTGTATATATCGATCGATAAATAATATATACGTGTGTATATATTGAGAAAAATATCCAGTTACAATTTTTTAATAACATTTTGCCATATTGCATGCAGCCTCGTGCCGAACAGCGTCATATGTTTCATCTAAAAACCACCACTTCTTGAATTATGGAAAAAAAATGAATGAAAAGAATCTATTGAAATATTTTTTATCGAATTGGGCTGTCAATAAAATATTGGAACCGTATATACATATATATATATATATATTCAATTTAATAATTGATAAAAAAATAGATGCAACATAAGGATAGCCCTTATAAATTTATTAACAACGCTTTTATCGGTTCGATTTTTTATAAAACCACCAACGGTATAAATATCAGTTTTAGTGTTTAGTTATTTTTAAAAAATTTCTTGTTCAATTTTGCAAAATTAAAATTGATTTTACAACAATTTCGATTATTATTTATTATTTATATCTTTTATTTATAATTTATTTATAAATATCTGTTTCTGTGTGCGCGCAGCCAGAAAGCGTAAATTCTTGCGCATAAAAATCAGTCGACCGATTATTTGCGTGTTCTAATTATAATTCTAAATAATCATAATATAAAATAAATATATACGGGTAAATGTAATAAAAAAAATGATGTGCAATAAAAATTTCTAACTTTATTGCAAAAACATTAATTAAACGGATAAAAAAATAACTCTCTTTCGATTTCGATGCCGCGGCATTGAAATCACTGTGTTATGTGATGGAATTTTTGGATGGATAAAATGATTGGTGTGGATTTTAGAGTATATCGAGTCGTCTTAGGGTAATATGGTAATAGGAAATAATGTTTATGGGTTAATTTTGCACATATTTGCCGAATATTTCATTTATATTAATTGAATGGTTGTAAAGTTATGGAAAATATTTAAAAGTGATGCACTTTAACAATTTTTGAGTTGTTATGAAGATTTTACTACTAATGAGAAACGTACTTTATTTAGTTATGTAGATATTTCTCAAATGCATCGTTCATATTGATCGAATGGTTTAAAATTGGTAGGAAGTTTATAAAAGTCTTGCAATTTAGAACAGACATCAATTGTTGAGTTTTAAGATTGAAAAATATTATTTTGCGTGATATTTTTTATTTAGCAAGTTTAGAAATTTAGTAAGTAATCATCAAGACTAAAGTTGCCCAAGTCGTACCCCTTAAGGAAATAATGATGTAATATTAGTGCATTTAATTAAAAGGAAATCTTTGGAATTGATTGAAAATATAGTTGGTTTTTGATTACCAATAGCAGATTTTATTTTATACCAAATCGGTATTTTCAAGTTTTCAAAACCCAGTACCAAACTCCTTTAAAAGTCGACCAATTTTGAAAATTGTTCAACAAATAATGGCGTCATTCATTGTCAGTCATAATTTTTGACTCTGGTCCTAGAAATGTTATTTGCAATTACGGATCCAAAGTTTGAAAGAACAAAAGAGATAAAAATTAACCTCATTAACCGAAAAATGGTCACAATTTCACCAAAGCCTAAAAGCTTATAATTTCTTAACGACGTGAGATTTTTTTTGTTCTTTTGTTTATTTAATATTTCAAATTTTATAAACATTTCGAGTTTGTCTCATCATCAACTATGTAATATATGGTAAAATCAACTAAAATATGGATACGACGAAGATTTGTGTTATCTGATGTAAAATCAAAATCTATTACTCAATGATGTCCACCTTATTTGATCTTAAAATATATTTCACTCAGAATGAGATAAACCTGGTTTCAAAATGTTTGTAAAATTTAAAATATTTAAGGGGCACACCTAATGTGACAACCTAAGAAAAGGGCAGTTATGGGAATTATAAAATAAAAAAAAAACTAGTGAATCGATCTGTTTGAAATTTTGAGGGTATATTTATACATATTTTGAGAATACAGAGTAAAATTTGAAAATAAAATAATAAATATTTTTGAAATGACACGCAATCTCCGGCGGCGCCAAAAAAAGAGGTCTTCTACTGCTGCTTCTACTGCTGCAGGCTGAGTGATTGCAGCCTTCTTCGTTGATAAAACTTAAAAACAAAAAATTCTCGTTAAATTAAAACATATTGTCTGTACGATGATCCTCGGGCGAACAAAAAAATCAAAAATTGACAAAATGGGGGCATGTTGACAAAAAAAGTTAAAATTTTGGTCGTTTTTGGTCTGCCAAAATTCGATTTTTGATCATATAAAAAAACTGGAGGGTGGGTCATCGTATGAAGAACTATATAGAGAAAATGTAAAAAAAATTATAGCGATCGGATCATTTTTCTTCTAGTAATTACTCCAGCAAATTCGAAAAATGGTGTTTCGAGAAAAACGCGTTTAAAGATAAAATAATCGTTATGCTATATACTATATACATACTCTTTTAAATGGCCCTGACTCAAAAACGTTTAATATATCGATTTAAAATTTTAGTATTTTATTTTTAAAGGTGCAACCTATCGAAATATGGAAAAATTCAAAATTCGATTTTTTGAAAATTACACATTAGGTGTGCCCCTTAATAAATAGTGAAACAAAGGTGCTGGTTACACTACCAAGTAAACTTCAATTTGAGCAAAATTTTGGAAGTGCTAAATGATGTATTTCATAATTATCAGAAAAACAACTTAGGCGGTGGTGCGACTTGAGAAACTTGTCCATTATATCCACTCCGCCCCTGGCCAATTTTAATCTTGCGCCTAATTATATTTGCAAAAATTCCCGATTTGCGAAAATTTTGGAAGTGCTAAATGATGTATTTCATAATTATCAGAAAAACAACTTAGGCGGTGGTACGACTTGAGAAACTTGTCCATTATATCCACTCCGCCCCTGGCCAATTTTAATCCTGCGCCTAATTATATTTGCAAAAATTCCCGATTCGCAAATTATGCAGAAGTAAGGCAGGAGAGGAGAAGGAGCACCGAGTAAAGAGCCAGAGTAAGGCAAGGCAAGTAAGGCGCCGAGTCGAGTTGGGCTTTTTTTCCTCCAATTTCTTCTTCCTTTCATCTCCCGTCGGACGTCGGACGTCGGTCGCTGTTTATTTACTTTTTGTTCCTTTTCTCCGGCGGTAATCAGAGCCATCATAAAGCCACCTGCTATTGATTAAGGAACACCTGAGGAATCCGGGCGCCCCCTTGGAGGCTACGCCCCGTCAGGGGAATAACGAGGCGCACGCAAATGAGGAAAGAAAAAGGATACATACTTTTATAAATTCAGCAGCAATATCTAATAGTACGACAATGTTAATTTGTTGTTGACAATAGAGTTCTTTGAATAATAAAAAATGGTAACATCTAACAAAGTGATTTTGTAAAATATATATTTACAAGGTAATCTTCTTATATATAAAAATGATTCGAAAATGTGTTGGTAAGCGCATAACTCAACAAGGCCTGGACCAATTTGGCCAATTCTTTTTTTAAAATGTTTGTTGAAGTTCAAGGATGGTTTTTATGGCGAGAAAAAATCAAATAATTGCCGTGAAAACCCTAAAAACAGCCTTTTTCTTTTTCTCATACCAACGTTTTCTAACTAAAACGTAGAATCAATTTGAGCTTTATTGGTATTATATAGAGTTCATATTAAATTACAAGCAGTCATTGTATACTCCTATTTAAACGATTATTCGGATTTTGATCAATCTTTCTGAAGTTTGTTAAGGAAATTTTCTAGGATGTATGTGATTATAAAGCACTGGGATGAATGTGCAATATTGTAGAAATAAATTCAAAAAATTACAAAAAACGACATGCCATTGTTTGATTAAGATTCGGATATTAAATTCTCAA